ACTACATCCTGGGTTTGGCAATCCAGGCTTACGCGTGCGTTCACATCGGCAACAGCTGTTAAGGGCATCAACGACAAATTTCAAAACTAAAATAAACATTTGCGTTGACTTGATATTACCTATCAACGTTTGTAAATTTACTGTCCCAATTTAAAGCGAATGGTATTATTATTATCGATGCCGGAATGCAAATATTTAATACGATAATTAACTTTTATAATTTTTTTATGGTGTCTGTATTAATTTACAGATAAACCTCGCAAATCTGAGATTGTGCCAATCCTGAATGTTGATTTAAAATTGTGATTAAATAATTCGGCAATAAAGGCATTTCTGCGTGGCCATAAGATGAGGTGACTTTAATAAACAGCACTTCTTTAAGGATATTTTACATATGCGACTAATGCTAAAAACATTGGGCTCGAGTGCTCTGGTGCCTAATCAGGCGCTAATTGCAACTAATTCAACTCAAGTTTCAACGACTTTTTTCGTCTTCACGATATGTTATCTTTTTTTATTCGGTATTGATAATGATAAATAAAAAATGTGTAATTGTTGATTGCAATTCCGGAAAACGAACGAATTTAACCGCGGTTAACCGCGCATTGGAAAGCAAAACACAATTTATTAACATTACTTTACAATGAGTTACGGGTAAGAATTAACCAGACGGCTATCGCTAACATGTAGAAACAATAAATTTGAAACGATTTTGTATAAAGCGTGTCAACATCGTTTTTGTAAATTTAGAAACGTCGATAAGTAAGACAAGTAAATAATGTATTTTATGGAACTTTCATGAGATATTGGTGAGAAATATTATTTTGACCATGTCGAAATGCCATTATTGCCGATTTATTCACGTGTTTAGTTACTATCAGTGTTTTAACCCAAAGCTGAGTTACGTAAATACTTAACACTGAGTACTCAAGAGATAACCAATTTGCAGAGTTTTTCAATTATTATTTAATACGAAAGTAACACAGACACGATCCAAAATTAAAAGCATAGAAATGTCAACTATCTGCTTCACAAATATCGCATCCCGGGGTCAGTAATAATATTATTGTTCGCTTAAACTCGGGACGGTAATTTACGAACTGATACAAATCCTACACAGAAGATAAAAATCAGAACAAAATCAATTTTCGTTGTGAATGCGCTCATTAATAGTTGTCTTTAAAATCTTCGCCGATGTGAATTCACAATTCTATCCGAAATATAAAAACCAAACTACGATGTCCGCCGTTACGTGAGAATTAATATTTGCTAGTGAATAAAAACATGCTTTAATATAGTTTAACAACACGATCGCAGCGACAAAAAATTTACTGCAGCCTTCGATTATGACAAAATTATGAAATAATCATTGAATGACAATAAAAATTTAACTTCATTAACAATAATTTTCAAGTAATAGTTTCACATTTTCATGATTTTGATCGTCGCTACATGCGAGCGTGTTTTTGTACATATAAACCATGATGACACTACTGACATCTGCGAGTTATAGATCTCTCCAAGTTTAATTTTCGCGATTTTTAATGTTTCATTTCTAGATGCGGATGCCCGCTGACTACGGATAAATGGTCGATGTTTAAAAATAGGACTTTGGACCGTTGGGCAAAGAAAGGCGGGCTACACGTAACTGCGAAATTTCGCCGTGAACGACCTTACATTTTAGTTATAAACGCATTACGTCGTCGCGAATTGCAGTTTTGGTGTAATGTTTTAAATTCCCCCTAATCTCCCGTTAAAAAAAATTCTGGCTGCGCCCCTGCCCGGTGATAATTCTAGCTAAAATGTTACAATTTTATTTACGGAATTTGCAAATTCACCATTTTGATAATCACGCCCTAATTATTGGTGCAAAAATACTCAAAATATCACGAATTTAATCATTTCCGATGTTCCTAGGGGCAATTCATGACGGCGACAGTGTGCGTTGTTACATCGAAATTCACGATTGATTTTACGTTATACTCTTGTTCACGATTTCAACACTCCACCCGCCATGCATGGCTGAGTGAGAGGTTCACATTTTCGAAACATTACTTGGCCGCCAAGGATGGGAGGGATCACTAACAAGCTAATTGAAAGCACATTAAAAGGATTATGAATTGTCATTTTTTTCTGGTTATAGCCTGTACATGTTATACCATGTGTGGGCTCTCGGAACGTCAATTTAACTTTTAATTTTCGACAATCAATTGTATGTGCGGCTCCTACATGAAACGGCTAATTCATGCTGCCAATATACGGAGTTTGAAATCTGGGATATTTATTTCGAATAGTCTATTTATTTTGACTCTTCTAAAATTAGGAAGCTTTGTTGGTGCCTTTTTTGGCGCAAAGTATGAAATTGAAACGATACGAATATTTTGCCCAGTCCTATAGGCGAGGTTATGATATTAAGGCAGAGAATATTTGTAAGCATATCACTGGATGGAAATATTTTGCACCAAGACTGTTTGCAGAAGTTGATTTATCGAATACACGGAAAGTATTTATTTATCATCTCACTTGCGAACATCGGGGTTTGGGCGGAATTATACGATTATGTTGTTGTTCTTGAATAATAACTTTTTCGATGAATGTTTATTTTACTTTTGTGTATTAATTATGATATGTTGAGTTTTCGTTTATTTCAAATTCGAAATTGTCCGGAATACTCAAACAGGTGTAATAAGTGTTGATAGTATAGTGTAATCGAGTAACCAACTTAGAAGTCTTTAGAGATGTCTAATGAACTTGATGTGTTACGGGTGTCGTAACCCCCGTTTTTTTTTATTAAATTTGATTGTTCTACCCTTCCGCTTATAAACAACATCGTTATACGGTCATCTAAGGTAACTCTCGCGACCAAATCTTTTTGTTCTGTATGGCATCACCTTAGCGCCATTTATTACCGACTGAATTTTAATTGTGATTTATGTTATTTTCTGTTAGTTGGCGCTGATAACGTGGCTAATTTCTTTATAAACATTTTTAATATGTTTAATTTTAAAATTTAAATTTTTTTTTAAATATGTTCCTTACGTCTCTGCTATAATTGACAAGCGATAGCACAAGATTCAGCAACAAATGATAAGCAAAGCTATTTTATAATCATGGGTTGCTTAATAAAGATTTGCTAATTATGGCAGGATATAAAGAACATGGCCTGAAATATATAATTAACAGAACGATGTTTATTTTTCAGTCGACGAAAACCCTTAATAATAACAATTGCCGAAATCGCGAAAAAATGAATACGGATTTTCGATTGTGATCAGATGACTGAGAGGGCACATGTTTTTTTTCTCTGTTCAAAGCAGATAAAAACGAATACCATGTTGCCGAAAAGCGGTTAAGTGTTATCTTTCTTTAGCCAATCAAAATAGTGGTAATGGTATATACAAGAGGTTCCTAAACTTTACAAACTCGGAACGCAATTAATATTAAAATTACAAGTAATGGTGCATGGAAAACGAATTTGATTTTATTGAAATTGAAACGCACACACATAAGAGTTTTACATTTCATGCACAACTAACCGATGCTACATGTGAGATTTGTGCACATGAACGATTATATATCGCGATTATTTATGTGAGAATGCGTACTTCTCTTTCAACTTTAATTTCCAGGATTTCGGCGTTCACGTGGTCGACTAAAAAAGATTTATCAAATGGATTGGTATTTTCGTGTCACACTCAAATTATTTGGGTTTATTTTTTACATTCATGTTTTTTTCAAGAATCACCCTGTTGTATTTCCTGTACCTTCGCAAAGGAAAACTCTTTGGTGTCATCATTACTATTAGTGTAATTGAAAGTGGCGTTGAGATGCGAATATTTCATACTAGGTCTGCAGCATTAGAGACAGCGTTATTTATAAATGCTGGAAGTACATGGCATTTCTAAAAAAAATTGCAAATATATGATGTTTTCTACCCGATTTGAACTAACTGGCACGCAAACCAATGCAAGTCGATATTTGGAAATTACAGTCTTAGCGTAATCCGTGAGACAGTATAATATAAATTAGGCCAAGCTAGCTCATGAATGGGATTTCAAAGTGATCTTGCATAATATTTCGGAAAAAAAATCTTCGATAGAAAGTAGGTCACTCTATCTATAAAAACAGCGGTACTTTCATGGTGATCTTGCGTTATTTCCCAAAGAAAAACTGGCCGGAGAAACATGACTTTAATTAACCAATCTCTTAAAAGGGAAGAGGGCGGACTACTTTCAAGCATATTCTTTCGGACGAGGAAGCGTGGGATACTAAAGCGATATTGGTGATGGGGATGTCATTTTGCCCGGGTTTTGTACAAATGATCCCCCTCCCTAGCTATGGCCGGTAGTAACTAATATCTGCATGTATCAATCGGTGTCTGTTAGATGGAAGAAACAAGTTTGCAAGGCTTGTCTGTTCAGGCGGGAGTGCGCTTCGTTACTGACGCTGGTGGTTGATTGCACGAAACTTTTATTCCCGACAAGTGTGCTTATCAGGTGTCCTTTGATGAAATTCGCTTGTTTTTAACAAGAGTTTAAACGAAACTTGTTAACGGAAGACTTCAATTCACAATATTAACGGAAGGAGCGCTTTTTCGAGTATCTATGCTGTTTGAAATGAGTTTAAACGAAAGCTAGGGCACCTAACTAGTTAAAATCAGAAAAAGCACTTTCGCACTTTTTTTTTCGACTGCGAAGCACTTTCGCACTCATAATTTCCTTAGAGTTAACACTGGTATCCACCTCTTCTCTCGTGGACTGTCAAGGAAACCTAATAGAAATTAATGCTTTCGATTTTCAGTAATAAGATTTGATTTTTTTCACCATCGAAAGCCTTCAATTCTGACGAACTCAGCGACCTCGACTCCATTGAAAACGCGCCCAAGTCCGGCTTCTCAGCACCATTGTTGAGCCATGACCGAGGTAATTTCTAATGAAGGTCACTCATTGAAACCATTTTTCCTATTGCAGGCTACATACCAGTACCAATATCATCACAGATAAACATATAGCACGTTTATTCAAGCGCAGCAGAGATATAATAAAATACTTGGTAAACATGTAAAGATAAAATAGTGTACCAATTAGCCTACTAAATCATTTCATACCAGGAAAGCCAAAACATCAAGAAAAAAAATTGGTCAAGTTTACTAGAATTAATCATTATTGAACTAAATCAATTAAAGACAAACCTATGTATGTTTTGTGAATGTAGGAGATGTGCCTTGAATAACACCATCACTACAGAACAGGTATCAGTGGAGCGAGCAGTTACTTGAATACTATTTTTTATCCAAATTTGTTCTAACCTGAACCATATCCCTAATATTAATTGTGTACTGGGACGTTTTATTTGAAATATGCATAACATTAGCCATTCCAACATTACAGATACATTCAAGTTGATTGTCGAGGAGTATGGAGGAAGTTTTTTATAACACATGGCAATAAGGTGAAATAGCAACAAATAACAAGAATTAATATAATTAAATACAATATTGTTTGCTTTGAAACCATGAAAATTATAAGAAAACAGAAAGTGAAGTGCTAGAGGTCAGACAGTCAAATTGAATATGCCAGAAATTGAGATAAGTCATAGATTCTTAGAGTGCTTTATAACTGAAAAGAATTTTAGGTATTTAGAGAATCTTAGATCCAAAATTATTTATATGAAGAATAATTGGCCACATAGCATGATTTGATATATAATATACAATCGCAAACTAAACCAATTCCACACAAGTACAATAATAAAATATTCAGTACATTCAACTATAAAAAAACAATATTATTGTTATAACCCATATATACAACAAAGAAAAAAACTTGACAATAGATGGTAATGTATCAGCACCAAATCTTCACAGTGTAAAGAACCACTGGGACAAGATAAAAATATAACAAGAGATGACCTTCAAGCAAATTTCGACTTGAAATTGAAAAACTATTTGATATATACGAAAATGGCACACTTAAAAATTATTTAGATATTTCCCCCTTTAATGCATTAAAAGTGAAATTTAACATGATTTTTATTTACCACTGTGAATAATCACAAAAATACATATAATAATAAACAAATATACAGTTGACATTTGAGATAAATGCTTTTGGTAGGTCGTATATGATTTGTTAGTGATGCAGGTACTGCAACACATTCGGCATCGGGTCAACATATTTGACGCAAACGAAATTGGGTGGTCCAGAAGTATGCGCACCTAGATGTCGCACAACCTGAATCCTAACCGGTACACACCTACTGTGTTCAGGTTGTGCGCATCCTTGTGGAGGCCCCAAAATTGTCCTAGGTTTATTTTGATAACACTTACCCCTGTTAACAACACACCCTAGCCCCAACTTCTTGCTTTGCAAAACTGTCTGTATAAGGTACCATATTTTTTATTTGAGTTTTAGGCCAGTATGGTCTTATGAATAAATCCCGGTTTAGATATTGATAAAGGTCAACTTTTTTATATTGCTCTTACGAGCCGAATAAACATACATACATAATGAAAAATTGGTCATAAAATCTATCACACTGGCTAGTGGGACAAATTAACAATATATCTCAAGAGAATATCACTTTTTCATGGAAGACCTTCCACAGATTTTTCTTTGCTGATAAACTGGCTTGTACACGTTTGGCAAGCAGTGCTAGTTAAAATTTCTGAAAAACTAGTTATTAAACTTTGGGCTTCTAATGATGCTGTGAATGTAATAAATAGAAAAGTTTATATTTATTCTGCTTCATTTTCAAATTGAGTGAAATTTTTTGTGTCACTTCCTCTTGCAGATGATAACATTTCTCCTCTGCTTGCCCTAAAATATAATTCAATTGTAAATTCAGGTGATTTGGATTTAAACAATATTGTTGATAATATCAAATAGTTTTTTTGCTAAATGATTATTAAATAATAAATGATCTTACTTTTTCCCCAAAGACATCAGTCCGTAGATGACTCCTGTGCAGAATGGAACAGCACATCCAGCTACTGTCATAATGCCAAAACATAGTGCAACAGGTACCATTGAAATTCTGAAAAAATGGAAAAGCAATAAAATATACACAATAGTAAATAAATGAAAAAATACTATCCATTCATAGAATTTTGTTTGCAGTGTTGATGGTCATTGACATTAGACAAATTTATGAGCGATTGGACCAATTTACAGTGTGTGATACCTCGGTATTCCTACAAAATTCATTCAGGATTTGTTAACTACCAAATATTCGTCTACCAATTATCACTAAATATATGAAAGTATTTTCAAACTACAACAGCAATTTTCACTAAGCAAAAACTGCATTTAATGTGAGTAAACTATGCGAGTACTGATAATAAAGAGTAGAGCTGCATGTTTGCAAATCAGGAGCACAGCTAGGACAATCCAACAGGATAATGATTTTTCTGTTGCTGATCCATGACCGATATGAGCATGTTTAAAAATGTCTTGCTTTTTCAATTTAATTGTCTACAATTTAACTTGCGATTGCGTCGACAAATTAAAAGCATCACTACTCTGAAATACACGCAATCCGCGGACATGAAAAGGTGTGAACTGCACGACTATATCTTGTTTTGATCCCCATTTTGCGAATTCGACAAATCCAAGCTGTACTCGTAACACTGACTCCGCTCAATCGCAATGCTGTGGTCGGCCTCGTACGGCAAAACTTGTTTGTTTTCGGTTTTATTTTTAGTATTTTATATTGCCGCTTTTAAATCAAATTCCCTTCGCGGATTCAATCCTTTATTTTTCTTTAGCACCTCACCGCCGATGAACATATAAAACTCTCACTGGATTCACAATTCTTTGCGAGTATGAAAAAAGTAATTATTATCCTTGTCCTGGCACAATACTTGTGTTGAAGGAAAGACATGATTTAGGGAGAATTAACACTGATGTGTAGGCGTTTACTGCCTAAATACCACGTCACGCTGACAAGAACGATTGGTGATTTTAGTAAAATGCGATTGCACATGTTATTAGCCGCTTTTTCTCCTTCAGAAATTTCAAGGGGTAGGGGGTCAACCCTGAAAAAAAAAACTGGCTGTGCCACTGTTGCAAATAACCTAGTGAAATCATTAAACAACTTCATTCATTGAATACGTTGAACAAAAGTTTATTCATAAAGTAAATAAAAAAAACAGACAGAACACAATGTTCAAGATTTCATCAAGGCTAGACTGTCCTTTTACAACTGAATGATCAGTGTTTATACCATGGACCAGTGGAGCAAAATTATAGGACTGTAATGATTAGTGTAAACAAAGACAAGAGGCTCATGGAAAATCATTAGAACTGTCAAACAGAAATAACTGGTATCAATGAAAAAAATAACTAGAAGACTTAATTCATAAATGATCTCTTTACATAGAAATATATTACTCTAAAATTATCACACTTTTGAAAAATAGATTAATCAAACGTTTGACACTTACATGCAATACAGAAGACCCTTATGCCAATATCTCAGATTCATGGTCCGATTGGCAAATCCTTTGGTGAATTCAAAAGCTTGACAGCAGAATGGGACTTCCAACATGATTATAATAATTGCAATCAATCTGAAATAAATTTAATACACGCAATATCAATAAATCATATATGTCCATGTTTATTTATGTCATGTTTATAATTATAGCATGTGTCGCCTTCCATAAGTCATATAGTTTGAATATAGATAATAGCAATTAAGTATTAGAATCCTAGTACACAAGCTTTTACTACAAAACCGTCATTTATTGTGTGAAATGGTTGCAATTCCCGCAGTGAAAGACAATTAATCACATAATTTATAATGTAAATGAGCATTTGAGGGAATAATATAACTCCCGAAATGTTCAATGATTCTATTCAAGCTAGCAATTGTATCCATTATTGATGATGCAATATATCTATTGATTTTGTTTGAAATGAGCAACTTAGATAATCAATCGGATTAATACATTTGGCCATATGCATATTGATTCATGCAGCCCAACATAATAAAATACTGCAATCTTTCCTTTCCAGCATGTGTATGTAAAAATTTCACACTTTAAAATGTCCAAAATTTTTCATTTTGAAAGGTAATGGTTTTTCTACAAAAACAATGACACTAATGAGATATGACTAAAGCACTAAGCACTATTATCACGATTCAAAACTTCGAATAGGGCAAGATACAAGCTGAAAATCTATGCATCCTCATTGTGAATTAATTTGTTTGAATCTACTAAAAATATAAAATTAAAATTTATTATATAATTCTTATAAAATATAATTTATTGTCAACTTACAGCATCCAAATTCCTGCAACCAGGCATCGAGGCTGTACTGTGATGAATACAGTGATTGAACAAGCAACAACAGCTGAAAAGGACAGATTAATTGTATAAGTAGATTAGCAAAAAAAAATCAATTCAGCTCCATTTTCATATAATGATTTGTATTGCATTCTTTACTACATACAAAACTAAAAGCATATAGTTTATTTCAGACAGATTGAACACATAAGTTTGAATTGGACATCAAAGCTATAATCAGTAAAAATGATAACTGATAATACAAACCATCAATTGTGAAAATGTCTAATGCAATATACAACAATAATTTCTTAGAAATAAAAAAAGCATACCTATTGCCCCAATCACTGCAACAATTTTGACAAGAATCTTACACCACCATGTTGCTTGATCTTGTGGTGCAGACTGACTCTCAGGATCTGTTGTTGATGGTTCACTAGACATATTTTATCTGTCCAGTAAATAGATTCACTAAACTTTAGGTAACCTGATATTCACAAATGTAACAGTGGAAGCAGTGCGGAAAATATATTTAATTAAAATTTGATTTTCTTGATAATTAGTTATTAGACGCCTAAAGAGAAAAATTGAAATATTTATATAATTCTGTTCATAACATATCATAATACAAATACGATATCAAGATTTGAGCTGCTTGATGTATATACTGTAAAATGTACATCAGTGCTATCTAATCAATATTGAATTTACACATTCTTCTTGCCAATTCTGCAACTGGATCAAGAAATAGAACAATGCATTTGAATAGAAAGATCATTCATACAATATTTTTCACACCAAATAATGATAAACGACATAATTCTCTGAAAATATGTGTGTCACTGGCAAATTCAATTTCGCTAAAAGCAAAGCCGTGCAATTCTGCCTATTTTATTCAACATGGCTAACCCCTCATCGAGCTTCAATACCTTTTTGGAAAATCTAAATTGAGTTGGAATGAACCCTGTGTCCCATACTAAATTAATAAATAAGGACCTGAATCCACGAGCTTTCAGACTTTACAAGATTCAGAGATCAATGTTTTGTAGCTGAATCTACCCTAAATCTCTTTTTTTTAAAGTAAAAAATTAAATATATTAGACATGTTCATTTTCATGCATACTAAATTCATACACACTTGATTCATAGTTCAAATACAATTCCTTAGTATTTCAAATTCTCTGACAAAATTGGGTGATTTTCTATTTTTTTCAATGTTGAGTCTGTAAGAACTATGTGGTGATCGGGGGTACTACCTTCAAATATAACAGAATTTCTTTATATCCATATTTCATATCTAGTAATTGAGAGTAAAAACACTATAATATTTAAATATCTTCCTGTAATGTTGGAATGTAACAAATACCTCAAATACAATGAAACACAAGTTTCTTAATTTTTCAAAAGTCTGGCATTATTTAATTTTCTAACAGTATTTTCAATAAAATCAAAAACAGAATCAAAATATTCACAACTCATAAACAGATGACTAGCAAATTCCGGTTTATTTCCACATAAAACACACATATATCATTTCCCGCAATATTTCTTATTCTTGGTTTTGTTTTTACTGGTAAAATATCCCACATTAACTTGAAATTGAAGGTTTTCACATAGTTGGCCAGTATATCATCATAAACATTTTCACATGCAATATTCAAATTACAATTGAGTAGAAAAATTTATCTATCTCCAGTCATAGAAATAACAATTTTTTTTAAAAAAGGTTCTATGTTAACAATTAATATTTAGATATCTGTACTACTTATGTTAGGTTTTCTCAAAAAATCTAATATTAATCTATACTCAACTTGAGGACAATATCTAACTTATGGGATCTTGTGAAGCAAACACCGTAACTGCTTAAATATCCCTAAACAAAAATATGGTGTGAAAACAAATGCTGTAGGTGCTTAAATAACGCCAAACAAAAATGCTGAAATGTGATGTGAAAATAACACAAACTTCACTCGAAGAGTGAACTGAACTCGAAGCCATTCGAAGTTTAAAATGCTTAATTCGAGATTCTCGAACTGTACGTGCGAAAAAAATGAAAAGAACCACCAAATCCGAAAGACCATTGAATCTAATAGTGGGTAATTGTAGAAATTATCAAATTAGGATAGGATTTACATATTTATCCCGGGGGAGAGGAAAGCCGATAAGACGGCTTATCCATATGGCGAACCACGGCCTCTCGTCCGGTTAGCATTTCAAGTCGGGTATGGGATTAGTTTTACTGTATTGTTTGTTTTCGGAAGCATGGACATCCATGGAAGCATGGATGGTGGTGGAGGAAGCCGTAACCGACCAGCGGTTACGTGAACCACCCAATGACGGCGAGGAGTCCAGCAATCCTCTCGCACATAACCATCCCTGCATGGGATTTGAACCTGCGAACCCACGCAGAGTAGTTAGAGGTGCGGTGGCAAGCGTATTCCTAACGCTTAGCCCGTTGAGCCAAACCGCCGCGCCAAACAGCTCAGTTGCATAGTTATATCATGATGGAGGTAGCATAATTTGTTGGCAGCAATCGCATACCGGTATGACAGGGGTTTAATTAAACATGACGCTCGCTAAAATGAAATGCATTTTTTCATGTACTATCTTCAAATATCTAGCTCAATGTCGTTTCTATAACAAATATTCCGATCTGATGGAGCTATTGCAGTATTGTTGTTGGATACAATAGATTGTAGACATATGTTCTGAGCCATCAATCCAAATTTTTTATGGTGAACTCGTCTTCTACCATTAGTCTATAAGACTTCCAATCCTACCCTGCATCTTAAGTTGGCCTGTCGAAGATCAATAATCATCATCACATAATGACGTCACATATCATATGAAACATGTGACCACTGACCCTTTGATGACACTGATGACACTTACTTATTTACGCTTAAACAAACCATCCTTGCGAGTTGCGACTACGATTGGGATTTCGGGACTGAATTTTAATTTTTAAGATCCCTGGGAAATGAATACATACAACAAAACAATGAACACACAGTAGGTGGATAGTTTATTTTGAACACTGCATAATACCGTAGGAGTAGGCCTATACATTTACGATAATACATATAAATAAATTAGGATGGATAATTCTGGAGAGCGGGCGAAACCTTTAATGGTGTTTAAAACGAGAGAAATATCATGTGCCCGCCCACTAGCACACACAGAAAATTTACAGATCACACAAACCTAGTTAACGAGGTTTGGTCCAGAAATGACCAAACAAAAGATGCGCGAATGTATTGAACTTTAGGTAGGCTTACCATACGTCCCGGTTTAGCCGGGACAGTCCCGGTTTTGACGAGCTGTCCCGGCGTCCCGGCCGGTTGACTCAAATGTCCCGGTTTGTCAGCACGACTGTCGTGGGTAAAAAAATTCATATTCATTATTATTACAATTTTTTTTTAACGATGGCAGCCCATTTACCACTGTTTTGCGACACACTTCGCTAGTTCAGAGAGAGAGAAATTGCTCTATTGTCATGTCACAATCGGTATATGTTTTACTATCACACTGCTATTCATGGCCAAAGTTTTGACTGCACCTCTAAATTAATTTTTCTTTTTTTCTTTAGCCTAAATTTGCGTTAACTTGTAAATATACACAGTTAGAATTTCTGATGTCCGCTGTCTGATAAGCGGATTCGCTGATTTTGCACGTTTAGCCAGAAATAAATGAGAGTCGGTGATTTTTAATTGCATTGCTCTGCTGTTCTCCTCTGAACCTAATGATGATTTACTTTAAACCAAAGCGACTATAAACCAAGTGAGGACAACCATTGGTAACGTTATAAGCGCTCGTGTGACGTCACACCAGCCATTTTGTGTCCAGATTTCTATCGCTGTGTGATCCTAACTAAGTGATTTAAACCTGCGATCGTTAAACAGCTGATTAAAAAAAAACGATGCTCAATAATTCGGACCAAACTTTCGCAGCGGCAAAACGAATGAGCATTCTTCTGAAAATTTAATTATCCGCAGATGTTTCTCAGATAACTCGGCTCGGCGGTATGGTCAGCATATACGAAGTTAAGGTTAAAGTCATTCAACTTCACTCGATAAATCAACAACCCGATAACACCAAAATATTAAACAAAAAGATACCCATTTTATTATTAAATTATTATAAAATTCCTGGTGTAATTATCGCTACTTGCACAGAACCTATTTTAACAAACTGACGGAACTACAATACAAATTATACTACAGAAACCCGCACTATTTTTGCGGTACATGTCATGATATTTTTTTTTTTTAATCAGATCAGAGTACGGATGTGAAATCGGATCGGTATTATATCAATACGTCATGTCCGAGTTGTAACGGTAATACGCTTCATAAACATATCGCTGCATATGCAGCAATCATACGTATGTCAGGGGGTTGCTTTCGTATGCTCTATGTTAAACATAGCATAATTGCCGCCCCCGAAGCTTCCGTTTCATCATTCCCGACGGGGCGGTAGATGGTATTGACTTATCTAAGCTACCACTTATGGGTAGCGGGGTATGTCCTTGGGCTAGTGTTACGTATATTAGCCTCGTTCATATCCGTTTTGGATTATCTTCCAGTTTGGAACTATTCCTAACAACCGAGTATCTCCGTATTTATTTTCTATAGTGCTCAGAAATTCTTTGTACATTTTGATTGTGGCTGTTGTTATGCCAATATCAAAAGGGCCAATATATCGGTTTTCGATATCTAATTTTATTTTCAGTTTTATTGTTTCCCGTTTCATAATAGCGAAGAGTTTGTTTGTCGCTATAAGTTGTGGTCCCGAGTGGCTATTATAGTAAATATTTTTGTAGTTTATATCTTTTGCTGGCTGATTGCGTTCAAACAAGTTTGTAAATATTGGATGTGCTCGGTTATTTTTGAGCAGTGGAGGAAAATATGTTCAGTAGAGTCCGAATTCGCTTTACAAAATTTACAATTTAGGATCCTAATTTTTCCGAATTGATCATGGCGGAGTGAGGTGCCTTTGCGACGGTTTCCGAAAAAGTATCCATTTTGGACTATTCTGTAGCTACAGACTCTTTCTGCATTGGAGATGTAGTTTTTAAGGTAGCGCTGTTTTAAATTTACTTCTTCCCAATTTATTTCCGTTTTTGTTAGGTCTTGCTTTTTAAGAATCTGATATATATCCCTGAGCTTCATAGTTTTCCAATCATTCAATGTTTGATCAATTTGTTTAAATAGGATTAGCCTACAAGCGTTTTCCAGTGCCATGGTATGACAAGGCTGTGCGGCATAGAATTTGTATATGCTTCCGGATTTATTATGCGTATCTGTGATCCGATAGAGTAGAGAGCCTCGAAATGCCAGAACTGGCTAGGTGTCTCCATTTTCACAAGTTCCCGCATTTTTTCCACTTGGCATGCGTTGATTCTTGCTTTGACGTCTATGGTGTTAAAACCCCCGACCTTTTTTCCTTTTTGTAGAGTTGTCCTAGCGATTGCTTCAATTTTTTCTGGGTGCCAAAAGAACTTATAGATTAGAGATTAGACGCTGTATTTGTTGTATTTTACTTGGTGGGACTTCAATAACGCGAGCATGGAAAATTATTAATGATAC